CTCTCTCTTCATGTCCATATACTACGAGCATTAGTTTCCAAAATTCCAAAGAATTATCTGCTTTACAAAAATATTTTTTTTCCAGATAGCACACATGTGTTTTACAACAAGTTTTTGAAGCAAGTTATCGTGCCTCCATTCACACTCGTACAGCAGTTTTGGATTGGTAAGTGTTCATTTTTACTACTTATTTATTTATGTAACGTTAATGCTAATATGTTAATATATGTGTGTATTAATTAGTTGTTTGTTTCAGGGCCGAGGATGCCGGAAGATATCTCATTAATAATTCACTTTCTTTTCAGGGACTATATCTTTGTATTCATTCTTTTCTTTTAGGTGTAATATCATTAATTTATTTGAATACTAATTCTGTTTGTTTCAGGTGCTGCGACCCTTCCGGAGGAGTTGCCAGGTCGACCGACGCCAGGAATAGCGCAGGATACCCACAGCAGGACTCGACGCACACGCGGAGCGCAGAGTAGAAAGACTCGGAGCAACGGAACTCAGATGAGTAGTCCCTATTGCGGGTTTAAAATATATTCCAATTATTGTTTCTTTGCAGAAATTTGCTTGTGATATCTTTCTTTCTGTTTCAGATTCCATTTCAGGGGATTTTTGGAGTAGCAGAGACACTTGGGATCTCCAGGACTTGTGTGTAGCAAAGACGAGGATTTTTATCAAGAAACGGTGTTAGTGCGCCATTTATTAGTGTTCGTTAGTGTCAGTGCTGTGCAACCGATGTGCGGGAGTGCTAATTTTAAGTTGGAATAAGAATTTATATGTACAAGGTATGCAAGTATGAAAGTGACGGATGGGGTTATGTGCCCCATGTGTCAAGTGTAAATGTGAATTTTATTGTAATTTCTGAATGGATGAATGAAAGTTGGATATAAAAGCGTGTATGGATCGCGGTTCTGTACCAGAACTGCTGTAAGAATGAGAATTTACATGTATATTAGTGTGAAATGTATGTATGGGTGATTGCGCTGCCGCTGCGGAGCGGATATTGTGTAAATTTGCGATTTATGAGTGAAAATTCAAGTAAACGATTGTAAAATATTATTTGTTATCGCGAGAATATCCTGTCAAGTGTGTATTTGTGTGTTTGAATGCGTTAGTTGTAATAATATTGTAATAATTGTGGATTTTGCATTTCAGGTGTTGGATTACGGTTGAGCGCTTTGCGAGCGACTTTTGTTCGACGCGACGTTCATTTTGGTTTTCTTTTTGGCGAGCGATGAGAGCGCCGGGGCTGCGAGAGCCTACGGGGACAGTTGCACGACGGGCGTCGTCGATGTATGAGCTAATCAATAAAAGTAGCATTTTCTTCAGAGTTATTTCCCGATTTCGACTTATACCCGTGTCTTATATTACAACATTTGGCGACCGTGACAGGACGCGGGAGGTACAGTGGTGTCGATCGTGATATAACAGTTTCGATAGTATCCAAAAGCAATGGATAAAACGAAGAAAGTGCGAACGGCTCACCGTAGCGCCTTCACCAGAGCGCTGAACGCACTGAATGCGTTAAGAGGTGAAGGATCGGAAGCCACGCATCAAGAAATTATAGTGGCCTTTCAATTACTCGAAGCAAAGATGCGAGATTTGGAAGCAAGCTCACAGGCCTTTATGCATCTGATGTTTGATTCGGATAGCGCGACGGATGCAGATATTCAAAAGGAATATGACGACGCAGACCAGTATAAAAAACAGTTCCTCGCAACAAGGTTACAGATAGCTGATTACACCGATCCGAAGGAAAATCAGGAACCATCGGGGAGTACCAACGGCGTACCTGGAGATAACAAGAAGTCGTTCAAGTTACCGAAAATCGAGCTGGCTCAATTCGGTGGAGACGTACAGGGATGGCTACAGTTCTGGAGTTTATTCAAGAAAATTCATGAAGACGCGAATATCGCGAATGAAGATAAATTCCAATATCTCATACAATCCATGGACAATCCATTCCGGACTCTCGTGCCGCAGATCTAGTGAAAAGTTATCCGCCTACGGCCGAGAATTATAGCAAGGTAATCAGCAGCCTGAAGAATCGTTTTGGACGTGATGATCTACAGATCGAAGTATATGTGCGCGAGCTTTTGCAACTCGTTTTACAAAATGCGTTGAAATCCAAGGCTTTTTCCCTCACGAGTTTGTACGATAAAATTGAGTTACATCTAAGAGCGCTCGAATCTCTGGGCATTACAACGGATAAGTGTGCGGCGATGCTGTTTCCGCTAGTAGAGTCATCGCTGCCGGAAGACGTTTTACGCGCGTGGCAGAGAAGTTCTGTAAACAATGCCGCGTTGCAGAGTGGAGATAGTGCGACGTCTCAGTGCAAGGATCGACTGACGCAACTTATCAAGTTCTTGGAAGGAGAAGTGCAAAACGAACTACGGATTTCGATGGCGGTCAAAGGCTTTGATTTAACAACGGGTAATGCGGATAGTGGGAAAAAGCGAAGATCGAAGACACACACGAAGGAGGAGGATGTCCCGACCGCAATGGGATTGCTGACGACGAAGGAAAAGGATAGTGCGTGTATATTTTGCAATTCCAATCACGAAAGTGCGCGTTGTGAAAATGCCAGGAAAATGAGCCTCTCTGAAAGACGAGATCACGCGAAGAAACAGAACGTTTGTTTTAATTGTTTAAAGGCAGGACATAATTTTAAACAGTGCCGAAGTAAAGTGAGCTGTAGCTGGTGTTCGATGCGGCATGTGCTTTTGATGTGTCCTAAAATAGAGAAAAAGGACAAGGACAGTAAGGTTGATTCTAAATCGCAAGATTCTGAGAAAGCGAATAGTGAGTGTAATCTGGCTAACCTCTCGAGTGATCCGGAAGTGTTAATGCAAACGTTGTGAGTAAAATTGCGGAACGGAAACAAGGAATATATCGTTCGAGCAATTGTCGATACCGGATCTCAGAAATCTTACGTCACCAAGGAAGCGGCCGAGCACCTGGACTACGAGCCAATTGCCGAGCAGACGATGACACACTCCCTCTTCGGTGGACAAAAAACGGACGCGGTGCAACACAAAAAATATCGGATTCGCTTGAGCAGTCTGGACAATAAATATTGCTGTAATTTCATCGCGTTGGACCAGGCTGTTATTTGTGAAAGAGTACCGCTAATAAAAATCGGAGAGTGGGATCGCGAGCTGGAAAAACTCGACATTGATGTGAGTGATCGGCATAGTAAGAGAGAGTCGATTTCAGTGCTCATCGGTGCCGACGTGGCCGGCAAATTGTATACGGGCCGTGTTTACGTACTGAAAGGCGGCTTAGTTGCCATCGAAACGTGTCTTGGTTGGACAGTTATGGGGAAGGTTCCCGAATCCAAAACAAGTGAGAGTGCCGCGACGACTGCTATATCGCTGTTTATAAACAAGGTAGAGATCGCGGACATGTGGTCGTTGGACGTTCTGGGAATACGCGATCCGATCGAGACGAAAACACAAAAGGAAAAAGATGACGAGATGCAAGAAGCTTTTCTGAAAACCGTGCGAGTTAACGAAGAGGGGCGGTACGAGATACAGTTGCCGTGGTTGCCGAGTCACCCTGCTTTGCCACGTAATAAGGAGACGGCTATGCGTCGGTTGCAGTCTACGGAACGAAAATTGAAGGCCGACAATCTGTATGCTGAGTACGATGCTGTTTTCAACGAATGGCTGGCGGAGGGAATCATCGAGCGTGTCCCGGTGCAAGAAGAAGATGATGGGGGCTATTATCTACCTCACCGACACGTGGTCAAGGAGGGCAGCACGACGAGAATTCGACCGGTGTTCGACGCATCAGCCAAGGAACGGACGTCGCCATCGCTCAACGAGTGCCTTCATAAGGGTCCAAATTTGATAGAATTGATCGCGTCCATTCTTCTGCGCTTTAGGGAAAATAAAATCGGAGTAATAGCTGATATTAAAAGGGCTTTTTTGCAAATCAGTATCGATAAAAGAGATCGAGATTTCTTGCGTTTCTTATGGTACGATGCAGGAGGAAATATAATTGTTTTTAGACATTGCAGAGTCGTTTTCGGAGTTACCTCGAGTCCCTTTATTCTGAGCGCGATTCGGAACTTTCATTTGAATAATTATGCGAAGTCTGATAACGATGTTTCGATAAATAGTAAAAGATTGTTAGAAAGTTTTTACGTTGACAATGCAGTAACTAGTGTGAATACGCGAGAAGATTTGAATAACTTCATCCTAGACGCAAAAAGACTGATGAACATGGCTGGTTTTGACCTTCGAGGGTGGGAGTATAGCGATGATAATTCCCAAGACAACCAGACAGTAGTATTAGGCGTTACCTGGGATAAAAGGGCTGACACGTTAGCAATAAAAATACCAGATTTTCCAGAGTTACACGATTCGAAAATGACGAAAAGAAAGATTCTTTCGTCGGCGCACCGTATTTTTGACCCATTAGGTTTTGTATGTCCTGTTATGCTGTGCCCACGAATTCTGTTACAGGAAACCTGGAGTGAAAATTTAAAGTGGGATGATGAAGTTCCAGACAAGTTAAAGAATAGATTTTCGAAGTGGTTGGAAGATTTGAAGGAGCTTAACAAGATTAGAATTACACGATGTATTTTAGGACAAATATCTGAGTCGGATAACGTAAGTTTGCACATATTCTGTGATGCTAGTAAAGACGCGTATGCCACAGTTATTTACATTCGCGTTGAAAATTTTGAGGGTGTAAAGGTTCACTTTGTACAAGCGAAAACGCGAGTTGCGCCTGCTAGAAAAGGTAATACGGATGCGCGAACCAGTATACCGCGTTTGGAGTTGTTAGCAGCGACAATAGGCGCGAGATTAGCGAGAAATGTATTAGATGCGCTTCATTTTAAAACGCTTAAACTCTTTTATTGGACCGACTCCTCGACTGTGTTAGCATGGATCCAAAGAGAATGTAATTGGGCAACGTTTGTGTATAACCGAATAAAAGAGATACGTATGCTATCGGATCCCGCGTGTTGGTATCATGTACAGGGTCGTTTGAATCCCGCAGACTTACCATCAAGAGGATGTACGGCGAAACAAATTATGTCTGCGAGATGGTGGGAGGGACCCGTGTGGCTATATGAGACGGCAGATAAATGGCCAATGTGTAGAGAATTGTCGTGCGATGAAGACGAAATCAGTAAAGAGTTAAAAAGAACCGCGATAAACAAAAAATCTGTTTGTACTCTCGTAGCGTTAGAAGGAAAGGGTGCGGAAGAGAACGAATTTCTCAGTAGATTTTCTAACTTTGCAAAAATGATAAGAGTGTTTGCGTATGTACGACGATTTTATTGTAACTGTCGAGAGAAAAAAGAGAGTCGTATTAGGGATGCTCTTTTGTGTAAAGAAATTCAAACGTCACGTACTCTGTTATTAAAG